TACTTTCGATGTGCACCACATGTTGCCTCCAGTTGAATCTAATCCTCCAAGGCAACCTATTTAATCATCATTATAGTCATTACCACCAACATTAGCTATTTAATCATCATAGTCATAGTGTAGCACATTATCATCTTCAAACTTATTCTAGCTAGCTAATCACCACCAACACTAGCTACGGTAGCTATCTAATCACCACGAGTACTAGCTAATAATAATCATCATAGTCATTACCACCAACACTAGCTATTTAATCATCATAGTCATAGTGTAGCACATCATCATCTTCAAACTCATTCTAGCTAGCTAATCCCTTCTGCTGCTCTCTCTAAGGTAAAATAGCATAAAACATGTGTAGCACTCCTGCTTCATCATATTGGAGCATGCAGATGAACATGTCTCCTAATTGTGGGATGCGCTTCTGATTGCTGCCCCGTAGTACTTCTCTGCGATCCTTCACAATTTTGCTCCAGTCTTTGACTATTAAGAATTCCTCGGTGTTAGAAATCCTGAATGCACTAAAGTGCAATATAGGATGTCTTGGCCGTAAGCTAACCATTCTCATGCGACCTTTAGTCTCTATCCAATGAGGCACAACATTCATCGGGAGTCCCTGTTGAAGAACATCGTAGTAACATACTTAGCAATGAAGTTTAGCTTAAAAAATAATGTATGCAAAAGATGCATTTAGGATAAATAGTAAAAATCTTACCATCTTTCTAAATAGATGTGACTTCAATACAAACACTATTGGTTGCACCTTCTGAGTACTAAGATTTTTGTCCAGAAAAATAATTTCTCTTGATAGCATCAAGATCCTCAAGCCATGAAACATAATGACTTATCTCCTCACAGTTTAGTTCAGCCCCGGAACAGTGAACGGTCCTGTCTACCAAGCGCCGGACATGTTTGCTTGAATGGAAATAAGCTGTCAATAGAAATTAGTTGTCAACTATTTTTGAATAAACAATATCGAAGACATAAATATGGTTGAGAAACTCACATAATGGTAGAACTGAAGGCGTCTGCACATCGACCCAGATGTCGATATTACCTTCAATATCATCGTCCGAACGAATATCAAAGGTGATAACCATATCAGGCTCGAATGCACAAGCCTTGAATAGTGCTTGCCAAGTTTTGCATTCAAAATAGGTGTAGGTATCTGCATTGTATAATTTTGCGGCGAAAGTATAACAATGCTTGGTCTTCAAGTTAACTCTCTTTACCTCCATAGTTTTCATAGGACTGAACCCAATCTTATCCAAAAAAAAATTCTTGCATGGCATGGGACACACTAGTAGAAGTAGTAAAAAATTATAATTATAAGTTGAAGCAAAAAAAGAAGTCATGCTTAATTACGAAAAAAGATTTATCATTGTGACTTACTGTATCCACTTCGAAGGTCTCATCCAGCTTGATACTGAAGCGCCTACCATCAACTAGGAAATTTTTGCCGCACAGGCCATGCTCGTCTTCGCAGTATTCGCACATACCGAAATCTTTTTTGTCGTCAGACATTTTCTATGTTCATAATTGAAACATTAATTGAAAATCGATCATTTGATTCTCTTACTAGCAAATCCGGGGCACTCGATATTTCCTACATATTCTCGCACAAGTCATGCTTAAATTTGACGGAAAAATCCGGCATGACCTTTGCTAAAATAGGACATATCGAGCGCCTGAAATTTGCCATAACAGAAATGAATCAACGCTCGGGCAAAACAGAGGCCACTCGGGGGCACATTGCAAACGAAAACACCAAGACATCCTCTATATTCAGAATGCATCATCATCGACATCAATGACATGGCAACATACCTAACTTGAACACTGACAAAATATTATTGTTTAATATTTTTCCCAGTTGGAATTTCTTTTCTTGTGTTCTCAGCTCGAAGCTCATCTGTGACCAAGGCATTGTGATATATGCTGACTGGTATATTAATCTCTTTGCTGGTTTAGTGAGATTCAAGCAGCCACTGGACTCAACTCAATTGAGGCGCCCAACCCAAGCCTTTGCAAATTCAGATGCTCAAAGCCAGCTCGGTATGCACATGAATCAAAGCCATTTGGCTCCGCAAGCAATGAGGATAAAGGGTTCCCCCACTTTATATTAACCCCCTCCGTTTCCAAGATAGATGACTCAACTTTGTACTATAGAGCAATGGGCAACAACAAGGTTCATACAAAGAGGCGTTCAAGTTGCAAAAAACAGACAAATGATAAGGTCTTGCTGGGGTACCATCTATGCAAGATCAGCGAAGGAACTCAGCATAAAAGAGTTCCATCTATGACCCAATTGTGCTCTTCCGAAAGGCTAAAGCTTGGTCTGCTCCTCTTCCAGATTCAGTTCGAGTACGTACCTTGAAGATGAACCCAAAACTCTACAATTGAAACATACGGTTCTCTCCAAAAGAAGGGGAAAATCTATCAAAGTGGTTTGGTTCACGGGTCTGAACCTTCAAGAATGTCTGAAGAGATAGCATCTAAATCTAGGGTTTTTAATTTGCTGAGAGAACTGCATCGCAACCACTTGCCTAGAATGCCATGTTCTCATGGCATCACATTGACGAATCGCCGAGTTGAACCTAACACGCTACATAGCTTGGCGTAACAGACATGCACACAAGTCATAGACAACCTGACACATAGGTTCGCACAAAATGTGCCATAAAACATTACTGAAGACACAAACGGACCACACATGCAGAAATATTCTGAAGTATAACATATAGGCCAAACAAATGACATCTTCTCAACGGCAATATTCAGAAGTATGACCTAATTTTTACCAAGTGCTGTTATGTTGGTTGGCGCATATAGAAATCGGTAAAGATAGCATCCAATGATTAATTCGGCACCTTTTGCAAGGTCAACATCACTTTCGGCAACTTGTGCAAACTTGTTTACAGCGACATTGAGCTGTCGACATTTACAAAATACTGAAGAACATGCATGAGCAAGTTTTTGCTGCATGTAGTCGCAGGCTCACGGCAACAAATAATCCTAGGTACCTGAACACCAAGAAATCTCAATCAGGAGAGCCGATTTCTGACCACTCGTGAGGGGTAAAAGAAAGACATTGCAAAAAGTATCTGAAAGTTAAAACAGTAATAGGAAAACAGTTTTTACGAGTTCACATGCAACAATCAAACAAATGGTAGGCCACCAGAGGTGAACATGTACTGCAAGGCTTACCAGTCATTTCGGGGGTACTGGTACATTTGTACAGGAAAGAGGTATATACCATTTAAATGTCGGGACACTACACATTTGGTTTCTATTTTATACCTTCGGCTTAAGATTACTAGCACGTTGCGACTTATCGAACCATGGTTTGGATGATTGAATCCACACCATACTTTTTTTTCAAGGATACACCCTGGGAGGTGTATCAATATCATAGAAGAAGAGACCAAAGATGGCCGAGACAACGCCAAGATGCTACACGATGCAAACACGACACTGCACGGTTTACAACACAACCAACACCCGCCAAGCAACAAGACTCGCCTTGCACGACCTCCCGCCATGAATGTCGAGGAGGGGGTACACCGAGCTACAAAGCCGCGTGAGGGCCGAAGATGAGAACTTCTGATCGACTCCACTCCAAGAAAGCACAAGCCAACGCACCGCCTGCCCATAAGCGCCTAAGAGTTGGCGAGTGGACGGCGGGACCGAACCAACCGGAGGAGGCGTCGACCAAGAGGCGCCCAAGATGACGTACACAGCGCCTTGGAAGCTCACGCCCTCAGCGGCGGTCAACACCTACTCCAACTAGTACCAAGGGCTCCACGAGCCACCAAGGCGACGCCTTCCAGAGGGGAACAGCGCAGCCGCGCCGCCGTCGCCTGATCCAAAGGCCAGGCCTAGGGTTTCCTCCGGTGCTCGAGGCGGGGAAGAACGGGCAGCGCCATGACGACGCCTCCAAGGAGGTGACGGCGCCCACAGGCGTCGCCGTCGTCCGCTTCATGCAGGGCTTTCGCCCCGGCCCTGCCGTCGACCCCAACGCCCATGAACACGCAGCAAGGAGCCGGCTTGACCTCACCGCCGACGAGAGGAGAGCCAGGATGCCGTCGGCGCAGCAGGAGGCGCTAACCACCGTCTCACCACCACCAAAACAGGGGCTGGACGGTGAGGATCCAGCCCGCCGCCGCCTGGCCGGCCGCCGGCATCACCAAGGTGCCGAGCAGCCTGTGCTGACCACCGTCTCACGACCACGCCTGCCTGTAGCCACGGCCCAGATCCATTGGCCCGCCCAAGCCCATCTGGGCCGCGCAAGATCGGAGCTCCTGGCCGCAGCAACAGGGGCGCCTCCGCCGTGGGGAGGCCGCGCCTCCACTATCGCCGCCGGCCCGCGCTCGCCGTTGGGATCCCGCCGCACCATGCTGCCGAATCGCCGCCGAGCCATGCGCCGCCACTGCCGCCAGGAGAGAACGCCACCGCCGTGCGGAGAAGGCCCTGCCGCCACCGTCGCCGCCCGGGCTTTGCCCGGCGGGACCTCTGGCGGCGGCGGGAGGGAGGGGACAAGGGATGGGGGGCCGGAGGCTGGCGGCGTGGTTGCCCCCCGTGTCGCCTAGGGTTGCGACGCGGGGGCGGCGGAAACCATACCATACTAGCCTATATCTTCCAGTCAAATGTATATTCGGGAGTTGATATAAAACTGACCGACATGATAGACTGCATCAAGCTAGCTAGCACATCGACAGAATGAAGTGTGCAGATGCAGGCTTCAAGAGAAAAAAAAGGATAAAAGCTGGGAGATAAAAATGGATAAAGATTCCTATAGGAAAAGGGAAAAATGACCACCTTGTCCAGGGAAAAAAGGATCAGACTGCATTCTGTGTAACACTGGCACAATTGAGAATAATGTTGATCCATTGAACCCCAAAATTATCAAATCAGGCAAGCAAACCAATGGAGTGGTAAGAGATATTATTACATCACCTCTTAGACCAACAAAGCATGACAGAAGATGCGAAAGCCCAATCATCTCAAGTGTCGTTCAACAGTTCAACTTGATCATCTCCACCACCAGTGGTGATTCCTACGAAGAATGAGTCAATAGACCAATGGAAATGGTGCACAATGAAACAACTGAGAAAAGTTTTGCTACAAGACTAGGAACACTCAAGGAATCACATGTAAATTGTAATACAATATTCGAATAATTCATCCAGGCACAGTACACATGTAATGTATCGAGTCATTTATTTGACCAGGAAGCATTTTAGAATTGTTTTGGCATGAGCCTGTTCATTGCTATAAATCAGAGAAAAGAACAGAGCATGCAAAGATTTAAATTCCGTTCACAATACAGCAAAGGAAATCAAGGGATACTGGGAAGTATGTCCTTTTCTTACTCACCTGAACAAATAATGCCGAGTACAGAACTAAGAAACAAACATACCAACCTAATATAACACTAAAGAAAGACAGATTATTGGTCAATTGTTCCCTCAACTGATTAATTATCAAGTGTTGGTGTATATATTATCATGTGCCGCAGCAGGGCCACAATAACAGAACAACTATAATTAAATTGCTGCTGGGAAACAGCTATATTGAAGCACCGTTGAAATATGCCACGTTGACTAAATTTATATGCATCCTGACTGTTCATGTCTAAATATGTATGGCCTAACAGAGGGCATCAAGAAACTGCTATCTCCGTGCTACAAATAAACTAGTTCATCATTAAATATGATACAAGCAAATTGTCGAATTGGGGTACAGATGCAAAAACATGTGAAACACTTGCAAGTAAAAATGACAGGACTTCCTATACATTGTTTAAGTTGTGAAAGACTAACAGAGTCATTTTCCAGCACATGAACAATTAGTTGGTAAATGGGAACAACAGTGATTAGTTTGATAAGAAAACCACATTAATGAGGAGAACATGAGAACCAGCAGCAGCTAGGAGGATGTGGGAATCAACATTTGCAGAGTATGAATAGTTCCTCATTTAATTAATCAGTTCTTTCGAAATAAGTTCCATGAGAACTTGTCAAGTATACAAAACAATGGCCCATTTACTTGAAAACATCTACAACGTAGATATATTTTGGGAGATTAAACTATGCAGCATCAAAAAGTATGGAAATACCTGGTCCTGGAGTGTAGAAACTTGCATAAGGAAAAATGGACCAGCCAGTTGCTTCCTCTGAAATCCCCTCAATCTGCATGGACTTGAGATGGATCATGTAGGTGCGAGGATACACATGAATGAAGATCACATTCCCATCTTCAGCATAGCCAACAGGCCACATTCGATCCATACACGCTGCCAATACTTGTGGCGCAAAAAGCTTCTCCAGATCAATGACCCTGATATGTTCCCATGATGCCACCCCATCGATGCTAGCTACCCTTGACCACAAATGTAGGCTGAATCGATCAACACTGGCGAAACCTAGAGGACCATCCTGTGCCAGTGTGATGATAAAATTTCCGCCATATGGAACCTCAATTAAATCCAAGCTATTCTTATCCAAATCAAACTCAATGATGCTATCCTCATTACTCAACAGGCAGTAGAGTGTGTTTCCAACCAGAGCTGTCGGCTTTGCATCAACTAATGAATCTGGTGTATGAATCGAAGTGATCTCACCCCAGACGCCGGTCACGGACGAGTAGACGCAGGCAGAGGTGATGCAATATCTGTAGCTGCTGAACACGAATGCCACGAGGAACGGGCAGGAATGGCAGTCCCCGTGGCCCGTGTGGCCAGCCGCGCAGAGAACCGCGCCATTGTAATGGACGTTCTCCAGATGGGCTCGCGTGGGGAACGGTAGGTAGCGCTCGTCGCCGGTCATGGGGTCCCAGACGAGGATCGTCCTGGTACCGTAGTTGTGCAGGAGGGCGCGGCCGTGGCGGCAATCGAGGGCCCGCCAATCGAGGGACATGTTGGCGGTGGAGAGCGCGAAGCCGCCGGAGGTGGGGACGAAGATGGGAGCCCCTGGGCAGCTGTTGAAGAAGCCGAGCATGGGAGGCGTCCCCCCGTGGAACTCGCGGAAGCGGCGGCGGAAGCGGGCGTCGTGGACGAGGCCGCGCCAGTGCTTGGAGACGAAGGAGGCGCGGAACAGGTGGATGGGCTCCGGCAGGAGGCGGAGGAGGATCTCCAGGAGCATGTCGTCTGGGGGAAGCTGAAGCGGGGGAGACCACGGAGGCGGATCGGCGCGGCGGCGGCCGCCGGCGTGTTCGTCCATGGAGGATTTGGGGATTGGGGGAAAATGGGTGTCGAGGGTTTCGTGTTTTATTTTCTCCTTTTGACTGAGTGGCACTGTTCAAACAGGAGACGGCTAAATGGACACAAAACGCTGAGTAGGCTACTGTGGGTCCCATTAGTCAGTCACCCCCCTGCTTCTCTCTCTGTTCTCCTTTCTCTCTCGCGCAAAATCCCCAATTGCGCCGCCGAAACCCTCAACAGAAGACGCGGATTCACTTTTTTTGCCAATAGAAGCGCAGATTCACTTGTTTCTTGCTCGCCTCTCGTCGTCGATCAGCGGAAGCAATGGCGTCGTCGGGTAGCTCCTTCACGGGTCGGGCGTCCTAGCGCACGGTGGTACCATCGCAGTCTTCGGTTCCTTACCGATAGGGCCCAATGGAGTACGAGCCGCCGCAATTATGTCGTTGTCAGATGAAAGCCCCTAAGTGGATCTCATGGAGCCCGAAGAACCCAGGGATGAGGTACCACAACTATGGCAAAGCATTGGTATTTCTCTGCCTGTGTTTTGTTTCAAATTAAATTTATGTATGTTAATCAGTTGCTTCTGATGTGTTTGCTTCTAATTTTGTTGGTAATTGTTCGTTCTCAGTGCGTAGGGAGTTGACTGCAGATATTTTCTCTGGATGATGATTCACACACTCCATCTATGAATATGTTGCTCTGTCGACTAAAGGAACGTCTGAGGAATGAAAATGATTTGCTCAATGCCAGGTTGTCAAAGAACAAGATGTTGGATGCGTATGTGTGTGATTTGGAAGTCAATCATCGTGGAGAAATTAATGTCCTCAAGAAGAAGATTCAGAAATTGCAGTTCCGCCTTGTGGTTGCTCTGTTCTACCTTGTCGTCTCCCTCTTTTTTGAAATGATTGTCCTGGAGAAGAAGAAGCATCCTCAAGATATTAGTTTGTGAAGGAATCATTTATGTATGTTGTTTTGCTTTGTAAGCTATCAAGTAAGATTTAGAATATATCCTGTGAAAAGATTCAGAATTTGTACCGCATGCTGTTATGCAAAATTCAGAATTTGGTCCAGTGCAAAATCCAAGTGTTATGAGAATTTGGTACAATGCTTTCCCTTTCGTTGGCTTGCCTGGTGTTACTTGTAATAGTGTTGGGATTCGTCAGAGAGGAAGGGTGATGTGGTATAGTAGCAGATGATATTTCCCACGGTTAAGAACTAAGGTTTATCGAACCAATAGGAGATGGCACACAAACAACTTTAGCAGTACCTACACACACACAAACAAATGCTTGCACCTAACAAAGGCAAGGGGGTGGCACTACCCTTGTTCTTGCCAGTTGCAAGTATCAGATCTGGCAGTGGTAGATGGACAAGTAGATGCACACGAAGGTGGTGAAATCACTCTGCTGACTGAACATGAACGCCACGAGAAACATGCACGAATGGCAGTTGTCATGGCTGGCTGCACAAAGACAAACGTCATCCACGCGACAGTGACAGCGCGGGTTCCTCTGATATGTCGCGAGGAACCCCAGGTAGTGCTTCTCGCCGTTCATGAGTTCCCAGACTGGGAGCCTTTTGTGCCGTCGGTCCAGGAGGAGGGTGAGGTCGTGTTGGCAATCGAGGGCCCACCACTCGTCGTGGGGCATCATGGCGGCGATGGGGGACAGAGAAGCCATCGAAAGTGGAGATGAACAGGGGCCCTGGCTGGTTGTTGAAGAAGTCGAGGATGGGAGGCGTCTTGATATGTCTCCAACGTATCTATAATTTTTGATTGTTCCATGTTGTTATATTATCATTCTTGGATGTTTTACAATCATTTTATAGTCATTTTATATCATTTTTTGGTACTAACCTATTGACATAGTGCCCAATGCCAGTTGTTGTTCTCTGCATGTTTTTTTACATCGCAGGAAATCAATATCAAACGGAGTCCAAACACAGTGAAACTTCTTGAGGGTTTTTTTTGGGCCAGAAGACATCAAGTGGGCCAGGAAAGCACCTGGGGATGCTCCGAGGGGAGCACAACACACCAGGGCGCGCCTGGAGGCCCAGGCGCGCCCAGGTGGGTTGTGCCCACCTCGTGTGCCCCCTGAACCGCCTCTTTGTTCTATAAATACCCCAATATTCCAAAAACCCTAGGGGAGTCAACGAAAATCAATTCGAGCCGCCGCAGAGTCAAGAAACACCAGATCCAATCTAGACACCATCTCGGAGGGGTGCATCATGTCCATTGGTGCCTCTCTGATGATGCGTGAGTAGTTCTTTATAGACCTACGAGTCTGTAGTTAGTAGCTAGATGCCTTCCTCTCTCTCTTTTGATTATCAATCAATGGTCTCTTGGAGATCCATATGGTGTAAGTCTTTTTGCACTGTGTTTGTTGGGATCCGATGAACTTTGAGTTTATGATCAGATCTATGTTTTTATCCATGAAACTTATTTGAGTCTTCTTTGATTTCTTATATGCATGCTTGATTATAGCCTCGTATTTCTTCTCCGATATTTGGGTTTTGGTTGGCCAACTTGATCTATTTATCTTGCAATGGGAAGAGGTGCTTTGTGATGGGTTCGATTTTACGGTGCTTGATCCCAGTGACAGAAAGGAAAATGACACGTATGTACCGTGACTATTAAGGATAACAAGATGGGGTCTATTTCTACATAAATAGATCTTGTTTACATCATGTCATCGTTTTTATTGCATTACTCCGTTTCTCCATGAACTTAATACACTAGATGCATGCTGAATAGCGGTCGATGTGTGGAGTAATAGTAGTAGATGCTGGCAGGAGTCGGTCTACTAATCTTGGACGTGATGCCTATATAATGATCATTGCCTGGATATCGTCATGATTATTTGAAGTTCTATCAATTTCCCAATAGTAATTGTTTTCCCACCATTTGCTATTTTTTTTGAGAGAAGCCACTAGTGAAACCTACAGCCCTCGGGTCTCTTTTCATCATATTTGCCTTTGCGATCTATTTTCCTTTACATTTATTTTCAGATCTATTAAACCAAAAATACAAAAATACCTTGCTGCAATTTATTTGTTCCGCGATCTATTTATCCTATCTACCACTTTTAACTCACGTTATTTGCCTATCTTGAGGCGCCGTACCCGAATGGGATTGAAAACCCCTTTAACACGTCGGGTTGCGAGTATTTGTTATTTATGTGCAGGGGCTGTTTACGTGGTGTGAGGAGATTCTCCTACTGGTTTGATAACCTTGGTCTCATCACTGAGGGAAATACCTACTGTCAATACACTGCATCATCCCTTCCTCTTTGAGAAAATACCGACATAGTTCTAGCAGACATCACGTCTCCCGGTGGAACTCGCGGAAGCGGCGAAGTAAGCGGACGTCATGAACGAGGCCACACTAGTGCTTGGAGACGAAGGAGGCGCGGAAGAGGTGGATGGGCTCCGAAGGGAGGCGGAGGAGGATCTCCACGAGCATGTCATCGGGGAGATGCGGATGCGAAGGCGCCGAATCGGCGGGGCCACTGTCACCGGCGAGCTCGTCCATGGGGGTTTGGGGATTGGGAGGAAATGGAGTCGAGGGTTTCCTTTTTTCTTCTCTTTTTTTTGAGTGGCGAGGAGTTCGGTTTTCATTTCTCATAGTTGCACTTGACTTTGTTCTTTTATTTTCTTTGACGAAGTTGCCACAAGCGCCTTTGTGGTCGACGAGAACATCTCCTCCCACTGAACGCATATTGCCGGAAGTTTTGAAATAAAAATCTAGGAATAATAAGAGCACCAGAACTTGAATCTTGATGAGCTGGGGATGCCACTGTCCTCCTAACTATCCAACCATTGGCTGGTTTCACACGTGACTTTGTTCAAACATACTTTTAGATGATGTAAAATCATTTTCATAATCGATATAAATGTAAAGTGGAAATAATGTTTATTCGGCATGTAAGCATTCTAAATCGTTAATTAAACTATTGTGTATTCGGATGATGTTCAATCATTTTCATAATTGATAGTTGTGAATGAGTTGTCCAAAAAAAGCATGCAATTGAAACTTATTGAAAAGCGGAAAGAAGACATGCCTACTTGAAACTTATAGTTTTTTTGCACATGGCTTTATTAAGAGAAATTGCATAGTGCATACGTGAATAGTCATGTTGCTCTATTCCGAAATGCATGTCACCCTAATAAGAGACAAATAAAAAGTTGAGTTGTTTTTACAAGGAAGATAGATTATGAGTTTCACATGAAAAAGTTTTTCAGTGGGTATCACATTTTGAATAAACACTAAATAACTTCTGAATAAACACTTAATAGCTTTTGAATCATTTCTATGAGCATTAAATTTTGATACAATCTTTTTTTGTCCTAGCCAAAAGCAGGCAAACTCAATGCTTCGAAAAGCAAAAAAATAAAATAAAATCAAAACTTGTGTTCTAGATGGGTCGAAATAACTGTCATTTTTCATGAAAAACAATGCATGCACATACCTAACTTGAACACTGACAAATTATATATATTTTTAATATTTTCCTAGTTGGAATTTATTATCTTTTGTTTTCAGCTTGAAGCTCATCTGTGACCAAGGCAATGTGATGCATGCTGATTGGCAGATAAACCTCTTTGCTGGTTTAGCCATTGAAGGTGAGATTCAACCAGCCTTGAACTGGACTCAACTGAGGTGCCAAGACTTTGCAAATTCAGATGCTCAAAGCTAGCTCGGTATGCACATGAATCAAACCCATTTGGCCCCGCGCGCAAGCAATGTGGCAGCTGAACATTGGGTTCCATCTATGCAAGATCAGTGAAGGAGCTCAGTATAAAAGAGTTCCATATATGACGCCGAGTTGAACCTAACACGGTACATAGGTTAGCATAACAGACATGCACACAAGTTATAGACAACCATTAGTAGAAAAAGGGTCAAATATGAAGCACATTAGTGCCGGTTTGATTTTGAGCCGGCACTAATGTGTCCATTAGTGCCGGTTCCAACGGCTAGCCGGCCACTCTCATTAGTACCGGTTCATGGCGAACCTTTAG